TCAAATAGTGACTAGACCTAATAGGTAGCCAGCCTTTAGGGTTGTTTGAACTGTTTCGTCGCCGTGGGTGGATTCAAAACAGGTACGATTGTTTGATGCTTAAATCACTTTAGTATGACTAATAAGCACTACTTATTGATATAAGCACTTGCCTAATACTTATATCAGCCAATCAGTAGTATGTAATATCACGCTACTAATGGATAGTTGTCCTCTGAAGTGACTACAAACAGTATTGTATGTCAATAGAGCCTAATGTTACCTTTCTTGGTTGATTTCATTGGAGAAGACAGTGATGTTTCGCAGATTGAATTGTTAAAAGGGGGAAAGATTCATGTACTTCGCCTATGTGGATGAGGCTGCTTTTTTTTTAAAGAGAAGACAGTTAGAAAATTAAGGCTTCTTGACACAAACTGAGCACAGATTTGAGTATGTCTGGCAGGTTATTAATCCCTGTGAAATGTAGGATGATGCTACCGGACTCGTTTGGATGAAATCCCATTTCAAGACTAGATAGAGAAATGGCTAGGTGTGTTGACCGCTTCATTTATTTAGGAAATATGACATCCGATTATTATGTGATGTAGTATTTCTCTCCTTGCCAATTTATTGTTATTAGCCGTGGCTACTGACGGCGAAGTATCTGAAAAGCTTAGTAGCTTTGAGTATTTTGGCGGGTAGTGACCAGCAGTAGGATCTAAGATGAGCGTTCTGTCCTATTTGAGAGTGTTCAGCGGCATGTACCTGAATTCCCAGTGTAAATAATGTCCCCAGTGAACCTCAAACCTGGTAACCATTGTTTCAAACGCCAAAGCGTTCTTTATCCATTAAACCACTTGAGCAATGACAGCTACCTGCTGTGCAACGGATGTGAATCATTATTTATTTTCAATTCATTTCTTTTGATTTTCCCGTTGACTGACTGACCTCTATTAACATATCGGCTCCTTGAGTGGATGTTTCGACAACGTCTGAGTCCAAACTGAATTATATAATAATTAATACCCTTTGCACAAGAGGTGTTTCTCACGGCCCAAATGGTCTGATAGATAACGCCTCAGCATCTAAAACTATGAGCCATGGGTTCGAGTCTTAGGGGGAACACCATCACTCACTGGGGAATAGAGGTAGACCCAGATAACGAGTCTCAGATAGGGACGGAATGGGCATTGTCATGGATTTAACTTCCACTCACCAGTCACCAAATTACTTCAGGTTAAATCCTCGGATATCGTCAGAGCATCCGCACAAGGAGCTGGCATGTCGACAGAGGCTGAGAGCTTCATTCCAGTCAATCAACAGGAAATTCCAAATTGAATTGAATAAGATTATTAGGTTTCCGCCAACCTAACTCTGTGTGTACTTCTTCAAAGTTTGGCGAATCGGATGTCACTGCAAAGTTCTGCATTGGAAAGTCGGTTAGTCAAACTAATCCTACCTAAGCGATAGACGTTTTGACGTTTCTTTGTACATCACTGCACATAGCAGACTCAACCGCGTTTATGCCAAGATCTGATATAATAAAAATAATAAGCATCTTTTATATGTGACAACTTCAGCAAGCTACGAAATTCTCCCCCTATTAATTCCTGATTACTTGATCTAAACACCTGGAAACCTTCATCAATTACACGCACACCTAGACAATGTTAAAAGTTTAGCCTTCAGAATCCCTATCAGGTAACTTATAAGGCAGTGTTCTCTCATAAAAGGAAAGACGTTCAACAATGAGTTACTGCTGATAGAAGAACAGAACTTGTGCACTGTGGTAGAGTATAATTCCACTGTGAGTAAAAAATTTATTTTGATAAAGTCTCACAGTGGTGTACAGTAATATTTACTGATGACCACGTTTCGAGAACAATTCATTGGTCCTCATAATCATATCAAGGTACTCACTGAAACTACTTTCTAACTTCGTTCATATAGTTCCATTATATTTCATCGCTTGACTTGATTGGTACTAGTAGTAGTATTTTGCATATTTCCAGTATGAATGATGAGTCATTGCATCCCATTTCACGTGTTGGGTGTAGACTTGATGAACCAGGCAGGATTCAGCAACCAACTTTTCTCTCTCCACCTACCTAGATTACTCTTTAGAATTTTATTCCTCACCTTCCCACCACCCCATTGTGTGGTTGCGTGTTAATGCATGCATGCGTCATTCAGGATGAAGTGAAACAGATAGAAGAAGAGTTGGTATCAAATAACTAACTATCCTATAAAATTCATTAGGACGTTCAGTAAAGGCCAAAAGCAAAATAAAAATAATTGTGAAACTGTTAATGATAGCATAAATAAGACGAGAATATAAGTCATCTACAGTTATAACATATAAGGAGGGGACATCTGAGACCCTCCTTACGTAGAATTCTCAATGAAGCAGGAATTACAGCGGCATTTACTCTAGGTTTACTACAAACTCACTTAGGTAGGACAAACTCTGTAGGTTAAAGGACCCTGTTGGTTTACCCAATTAGACAAAATACCTTGTAATGACTGTGAGTTAAGTCAACTACATTGGTCAGACTAGTAGGTCGTGGGTAGTTAGAATGCCTGTCAGAAGATAAGAACTTAGTTAAGGTTGACCTCACTCGCGTAGATGAGAAATTTAGAAAGAAGCTCAACGATTGCATTGCATGCATGCATTAACTCGCTACCACACAATGAGGTGGTGGGAAGGTGAGGAATAAAATTCTAAAGAGTAATCTAGGTAGGTGGAGAGAGAAAAGTTGGTTGCTGAATCCTGCCTGGTTCATCAAGTCTACACCCAACACGTGAAATGGGATGCAATGACTCATCATTCATACTGGAAATATGCAAAATACTACTACTAGTACCAATCAAGTCAAGCGATGAAATATAATGGAACTATATGAACGAAGTTAGAAAGTAGTTTCAGTGAGTACCTTGATATGATTATGAGGACCAATGAATTGTTCTCGAAACGTGGTCATCAGTAAATATTACTGTACACCACTGTGAGACTTTATCAAAATAAATTTTTTACTCACAATGGAAGAGTTACTGCTCTTTTTGGTGATATCATTCTCAAGCTGTGTAGAATTGCAAATGCAGGGGAAATTCTCTTAGCAACGAAAGGAATATTTCCAGGAATGTTTCATCAGAATTGTAAACTTTAGATTACAAATTACGCCATGTAGATAACGTTGATTGAGTAGTAACTAAAATAAAACCAGATAGATAAATTAATTGACGTAGTGTAGTGAGTAGAGATCAACTAAAATTGAACGCGAGTCTAGTCAACAGCAGCGGTAGAGATTTATAGGGGTGAGGGAAGAAAGTGGTACAATTAAATAATAATAATACCCTGTATTAAGAAAGATCAGGTCCATTACAGATCTAATGACTGAACAAACTTCTTTTGTATGCAAAGTTTCCATGATTTAATATGTGGATTGGCATTGGTTGTACAGTTTGAGGAAGTTTGATTCATGACGTTTTGGTAAGATTCTCACGTATTCTGTAGATGACTATGAAGTTTGTATGTGGGTTAGCTTCGTGACAAGATTCTGTCAAGTATTCCAGGATAAAGCGGTGGAGCGGTGATCTTTTGTCTTCTTTATATAACCATGATAATTAGTGTTCGATGATACGTGTGAATAGCAAACGCTGCGTACGGTCAACACATCCAGCTCCACATGAGCAGGTGAACTGGTAAATGGACACTGATGAGGTTGACAGTGATAGCTTATTCTTCACACTCACAGGAATAATTGGTTTTTGGGAAAACAATCAGTCAAAGTTCAGCCGCGAAGTAGGTTGTCTTCAGTAAGCGGGATAGGCAGTTTCTCAGTATTTCTGTCAATGAGTCTCTACTGTATTGTTCATTAAGATGGAGAAGTCTTTTAGACGATGAATGTGTAGATGGTTTCAGTTGTTTAGGTCCCATAGATTTTGCGAAGAATTAGTCGGGGTAGCTTTTATTGAAGAAGAATTCTTTACAGAGTCTTTAGTGCTTCTTCCATATTGTCAGGGCTGCAAATGCTGTAGATCCTGTGGCTCATTGAATGGACCAAGTTTTGTTTTGCGTATAGAGGCACCCATCTATGAAATTTTAGTAAGATGTTCATTCTTTGCTGGCTTTCTGTAGATGAATATTCATAGTGTTCCATTTTTTATTATTGATAAAGACTATTGAACAGAGAGATACAAGCAGAGAAAGAAAATCACCTGTTCCAAATTTCCATGCTGGCAGTGAAAACTAGTCAACTATTTAGAAATTTCAAACTACATGAACAGTGAAAGCCCAGGGAGTACTAAACATCTGTTTCCTCCACTATTTTTATAATCTAACTTGAAGTCACCCTGCAAACCAACTCCTCGAAATTAATCTGCTATCCATTAGTAACTGGCCACGAGATGTAATTCCTTAAATTCCAACGAAAAGCCGTGACAGGGTGGGTCCAACCGAGGTATGTTATGAGGACGTAGAGGTTATGATTCACAGACCAGTGGATTCCATCCAGATGGCTGGATAACCAGCCAGATCGTCTCATGATCTGAAGATCCTGACTTCAACGCCTAATGACGTCATCGGCACGCATTTTTTGAAGGATCCCAAACTAAGACGAAACCTCTGTCCAACATTGCCTTGGCTCTCAGAGGTTCTCTAAATGATGTCAGTTCCTGGTCTAAACTGATAAAATAATAATGAATCCCTTGTGAACCAATACTCGAATATTTAAGAGCCAACTGATTCAACGAAGTCTGGATCAGTGAATCAGTTTCATTATCATTCAAATATCATTTTAAAAAATAGAAAAATAATTAATTGATGTGTTCATCTTAAACATTCTCTTAATAACAACTTATTTTGTACCATAAACCGGCTACCTATTTAATGGTCATAACTGCAAAATTACATCGGTAAAGTTTGTTTATATTACGCATCCACTCATATTTTAAATCTATTGAATTATGAACCTGTACATTTTGATTAAAACAAAATCATTTCATTAACCAATCTGTAATGAGATTTTAGTTCAATGTTCAATTGATAACAATTTTATATAAGTATATAACTGACAATATCATATTGTATACATCATATTTATATTGCAAATATTTACAGTTAATGCCATTAATATGACACTGTTGAATTCAAATCGCATCTATTTAATCACCTGTTCAATAGTCTACTTTCTATGTTATTTAAGTAGTATCACTGTAACTGCTCAAACAATAAAATTTAGTAAAAAATCTGGTAAAGTTGATTATGCTAATCCTGATATAGCGGGGTAAGTGAGAGTTTGTCAGTTATTGTTATTATTATTATTTATTATCTATTCTGTATTATATAATGAGACTTCCGATGTGTTTTCATCTAGATTCAAACTCATCATTAGGGTTGAAGAAACCCTTGTTTATGTGACTTATAGCCACCATTTGAGTTGAAGGTGAGGGGGAACACAGAAACATTGAATCACTGTTAGCTCAGAAATGTTGGTTCTTAGAGAGCTGATGCCTTTTTAATCAGATAATGACGGCTTACAAGCAGGGTGTTATAATTCCACTATTTATGCCTCCCTTAACTTAATTAGGTGTAGTGTGATGGAGTGATAACACGCCTACCTGTCGCATAACCCAGCCAGCTACTTCGTGAATCGAGGCATTTCTTTAATGATGCAACGTTTCAGGCGAATTAAAAAAACACAGCGTAGGAATATTGGAACACCACAATGAGCTTAACACGAAGTGAAAATCAACTATAACAGATAACTTTGACAGTTTCCAGTAAGTACAATCACCCAATGAAACTGGCTGGCATTCTGGATAGGGTACCTCAAATTGTCAGAGGTAGTCAAAGGTGTTTATTTTCGAATTCTTGTTGTCGTTGTTGGTTGGTTTGTCTGCTATCTTCATCATTTCCATCTTCTCTATGTTCACTTGAAGTTCTCTCTTTGTTGACGACTACTTCTAACAGTTTGCTGGTTCTCCCCTGTAAGTTATTCCATATCAGTTTGTTTATTAGACGCATCACACAGTCAGTGAAACAGTATTATTTACTGGATGACACAGTTTCGAACAAAATTTATTGTTCATAATCATACCAATTATGATCACACGACTTCGAAACTTGATTTTTATAGTTTTCTTTGTTTTCTCCTATTTGTCGTAGGGGTAGTAGAATTTTCTAGATATCCGACTGGACAGGTGTTGAATCATTCCTACTACACGAATCTAATGTCACAGGGTTCGAGAGAGAGAGATTGATAACAGAAGCTTTGTTTACCGAATCAACTGCAAATACATGTAAGAGGAATGATTTAACACCTGACCACCCAGATATCTGGAAAATTCCACTACCCCTTCGACGACAAATAGGAGAGAACAAAGAAAACTATAAAACTCAAGTTTCCAAGTCGTGTGAATATAACTGATATGATTACGAACAATACACTTTGTTCGAAACTCTGTCATCCAGTAGATAATACTGTTTCACTGACTGTGTGATACATCTAATAAACAAACTGATATGGACTAATATGGGCCACTTTTCGCTGACTTATTCTTGTCATGCCTAGAAACCCGTACCTTACAGTAACATACAAGAAACGGATGTATACCTATGATATGTTGATGACATTTTTATTGTCTGTGGAAGCAGATCAAAAGCTGAAGACATGTTAATAAAATTCAACTCACGCCATCTAAATCTCAATTTCACAATGGAACACGAGGAATACAATGCTATTAAATTCCTAGACGTTTTCCTAGCGAAAATGAATGATGGCACAATCGAAAGATCTTTATTTAAAAAGTCTTCACGGACAGGACAGTACATGCATTTCAAGAGGTTTGTTCCAACCCAGTATAAAAAGAACTTAGTCAGAACACTGTTCAACAGAGCACGAAAAATTTGTTTTGACAGTACTATTGAGCATGATATAAAATCTCTGAAGGATATTTTATCTAAGAATGGATACTCTGAGAAGTTCATTATTAAATACCCTAAAGAAATTAGCCCCCACAAAACAATCCAAATAGTTTCAAAGAAACCTGTCTATATCAGTTTGCCATTCCAAGGAGGTGATGTACAGGATGTAATCAAACGAAGACTCGATAAAGCCATCAAGAGAACTTATTATGCTGCAAAACTTGTTATCCTTAACACCACCACTAAGCCAGTGCTTCAACAATCTGAGAAAGACCAGTCGCCAATTCTCGATACTTCAAACTGCGCGTATCAATTTGATTAGTGTGTTTGTGGAAGCAAATACCTAGGTCGTAAAGAAAGGCGATTGTCTACTCGCATGATGCAGCATTTCTGCCAGAATGGTTGAAAACAGCTGAGTGCAAAGTGCCAAAATCCTCAATAAAAAACACCTTGTGGATTACAGACATGATATCGACGCGGTCAAGTCATTCACTATTGCCAGCAGACAAAGAAACAGGAAGATGCTTGCAATTACGGAGTCTTGTGCAATTCGAGTTTATAAACCAGGTCTCTGTGTACAAAAAGAGATGGTGGTAACTGTAAATCTATCATGGTAATACGTTTTACTTATTATTCTACCTCTTATTATTATTATTCTTGATTCATTTAAAACTCTTCTTTATCAGTAGGATTATCTTAACTCACTTCAACACTATTATTATTATTGTTGTTATAACCATTACTATTGATATTAGTCTTTTTGCGATTCTCGTTATGTTCCCTAATAACTAATTGTTTATCTAAGTAATGTAATCGAAGCGTAATGCAGTTTATCTTAATTTCGATCTCTCATACTCTCTCTCCCCTCATCTTTCATGGAAAACATTCTCATCTGTCGTCTTTCTGCATGACTAATTCAATGTAGTTTATTTGCTTATCAGTCTTATATCTCCCAATGTAATTTCAAAAGTATATATATCCGTGTATGTAGAGTATTGAGCTGACGAGTTCTACCAAAAATTGATGAATTCATTAAGTCATCCTGCTTTATTAACATATATTGCTTGTTTTAAATTCGTACCGGGAAATAAATGTTTTCAATTCTAATATGGAATTACTTACTACTGAAATGCCCAAATTTTACACATTAATTCATCTGTAAGTCTTCAGGAGAAATTTGAAAGACGTCACTTTCATCATTCACATAGATAAGAAGCATCATTTCAACTACAGACAGATTAGAAAGGCAAGAAAGACAATCATCCCTCTGAAATCAGTATGGAAATTTTCTCACCTTAGAACCAAATACAAATCATTTCTTCAGTATACGGTCTGAAACTTGCACCGCATATCACGAAAAGCATTTCTTATAGCGCACTACAGACGTTTAGTGACAACTTCTTCCAATACCTCCATACTGAAGACCAGGTGGCTAGTCAGAAAGAACTGGCAACAGGAAACTCTGAGAACGAACTAACCAAGAACCTGTTGTTCAAGAAATATCCTGAAGTAACTGGAGATGGAATAGACATACACACTGAAGAGACCATCGTGTGACATCACTCGCCAAACCAGAGCTCGAATGGGAAAAGATGAGTTGGGTTTGTATGCAAGGGTGATAGAGAAGGGATCCTATGGGTAAGAGGAGAAGCTTATGGGCAATCACGCTGTCAGCTAAAGAGGACAACAGAGAATAGGCCAAAATAGAGATGTGTTGGTGAAGCCCTGTGTTTTAATCGAAACTCAACAGAATAATAATAATAATAATAAGGGACAATAACAATTTTTAGATCCTAAGAATCCAAAAAATACTAATTGACAGTTAACCTTTTATTTATGATCTTTACATCTTTGCAGTTTATTTACATTATTATGTGAAAATATTTTACATTTTCACAATAAATGATATAGTATGGACACTTTATATTACATTAGTTTATTTCAAATATCCTACAGTGACGCAGTATTATTTAACTGGATGACGTTTCAAGCATAGAATTATTGCTCATAGTCATGTCAATTCAGTTATACGGCTTCACAATTTGTCTTTCTCTTTCTGCCTCTTCCCCCCTTTTCCATATTGCCACTTTCCATGTCTCCACCACCGACCGGTATTGCATCATTTCGATTACACTTGTGTGGTATCGACTCGATAGACAACCATTCTCTCACTCCACCTAACTATATTACTTCCTGGTACTTTCACCCTCCCTCTCTCTCCCACTCTATTCTATGATTACATGCATATGAATCCCACACAATAATAGTCGAGCATATTCAAACTTATCGTTCCATGTCTAGCTAAATTTTTATGTTCCAGTAATCTTATAGATCCCGATCTACTAGTTTGACTTATATAATCGACCATGCACATAGTCCGGGGCTCGATCCCTGGTCACAGACGTACTCCTTTACCTCGCTGAGACAGAAATAATTCTGGTAAGCGGGCATGAGGCTAGCAACCCCATCCTGTAAAACAAATACTGCTACAGAAACTTCAAGCCACCAGCTTGAAGCCCTATGTTCCACTGGGGAACGTGAAGGGAAAAAAATCGACAGTCATTACATGGTTTTGGTTTAGCTATATTATTTATCCTAATTGGATCTATTGGTTCTTTAAGCCCTATTAAGAATCATTATGTAAGGCACCTGATATTCTTCCTTTTTACGGCAGTAATACAGAGACTTTGAATTCTCTATGAAATTTGTTGTTGTTATTTTTGCCATTTTCATTATTTTATCATTCGCTTAAGTTAATTAGTACTCAGAACTTCTTGATTTTATATTGGCTGGTGATATGCACGATCTCTGTTTAAATGTCATCTTCTTGTACAGACATGTTAATGACGACTGGAAATTAACGTAATGGATGCGCCTTTCGTCCTATTTTCGACTCGTCGCCTGGATGTACCTCTATGGATGTCGGATGATATTCCCACCGAGGTTCGAATACAATCCATTACTCACTGGGAAGGTGCACCAACATAACAGTACACTGAATGTCAGACAAATTAGGAAAGATAATATTACAAATTCGTGAATTTACAGTCTCTACTGAAGGCGAGAGAAGTAGTAGGGGCTGGACTTGCTTCTTTCGAACACAGAGAACCGATTGTTTGAGGTGAATTGAAGTTTGGAGCATGCGGTGCTTCTATGATTTTGGCAATTTATTAGGCACCCGATAGATTATAGAGAAGGATTCTTCAACGCTGATTGGTTTTATGGCCGGTTTGCACCAGATGGTCCAATATCGAACTGTTAATGGTTTTAACTACACCTTTACGTAGCCATGCTGGGAGATGTTCTCGAGCACGAAAAATCAAGTTCCTGGAGCAACGGTCAATATAACTCGTCCCACAA